CTCCTCACTATCTCACTGCATTTCAAACATCTTAGGCATAATAAGGAACAGGTATTTTTCATCAGGTATTGATATGTTGAACTTTAAGTCCCTACATAATATGATAAAAAAACTCAAAACATTTTTATTACTTAAAAAAAGAATCCTGTATCCATTTAGCAACCACTAAGCTGCTTTTTTTTTTTTTTTGGATATTTTATATAAATGAAGTCAGACAATATGACCTTTTGTTTATGGCTTTTTTCATTTGGTATGATAATGTTTCAAGGATTATCGGTATTGTGGCATGTGTTAATACTTTATTCTTTTTTGGACTGAGTAATATTCCATTGTATAAATGTACGATATTTTTGTCTCTTCATCTGTTGATGGGCATTTGGGTTGTTCTTACCTTGTGCTACTGTGAATAGTGCTGCTATCAACATTTATATACAAATATCTGTTTCAGTACCTACTTTCAGTATTTAGGGTATATACCTGTGAGTGGCATTGCTATGTCAAATATGTTTAATTTTGTTTGTTTGGTTTTGGCGGTGCTTGGGGTGAGCTCAGGGCCTTGTGCTTACCAGGCAAATGCTCTACCACTGAGCGGCATCCCTGACGCCCGTGTTTAAGTTTACAAGGAGCTGGCAGACTATTTTCCTTAGCAGCTGGACCTTGTAATTCTGTGCTGTCCCTTAACTTTTGTTGGGCTTTTTTTTGTTTGTTTCTTTTTTTTTTTTTTTCAGAACCGGGGATTGAACTCAGGCCCGTGTGCTTGCCAGGGAAGCACTTATTCCACTTACCATCTCCCCAGCCCCTGTCCCTTAACTTTTATCTGGAGAGTCCATTTGCTTTTCTGCTAGGTTGAATCTCCCATCTGCTAGATTATATCTTATTACTTCTCTTTGGTGGAATACTTCCTACATCAGCTCTCTGTCTCCCCTCCCCTCCAGGCACTGAGGATTGAACCTAGGGCCTTTACCCTGATGTGAATCATCGGCTCTCTTTTATGTTTTATTCTGAAATGGGGTCTTGCTGAGTTGCCAGGGCTGGGCTTGAATTTGCAGTCCTTGCCTTTGTCTCCCAGAAGGCTGGGATTATAGATGTGTACCACCTTGCCTGGCTCTTGCATCACTTGAAGGGTGCAGGCTGGAATTGAGGTGATAAAAAGATGGAGTTAGAATGATTAAGATAGAAAAAGATGAGTAAAAGAAAATATTGCAAAATCATGCTCATTGTTTATCTGATGTACATACTTACCAGTTGAGTTGTTTTTCCATTTATATTGATCTTTTCATGCAAATGCAAATATATTGTTTTACTTAGTTATTTCCTTATTGTTATTTAACTTTGAAGGCAAGATTATCGAAATATTTAGTAGACTTGATATGTTATCTAGCCCATCACCCTGCTAAAAATTCACTTAAAATTTTTGTTTAAGTGTACCATATGTGGGCTGGAGAGATAGCTCAGTAGAATAAACACCTGCCTGGCAAGTGCAGGGTCTTGAGTTCAATCCCCAGTACCGCAAAAATAAATAAATAAAATAAAATAAATGTACCATACACCTATAGAAAGTTAGATAACACAAAACAAATGTATAGCTTAATGCATTATAAAACAAATATCTACTAAAGTAATTTAGGTGTCTTTGAATTACCTTCAAGAGATCACAAGTTCATAGCAAAATATAGTTAAAGAAAAAGGGCTGGGGATGGGCTGGAGAGATGGCTCAGTGGTCTAAAGCACCTACTTGGAACAAGCTTGGCAAAGCATCAGGGAC